AATATTGAATTGGGATTTGAAATTTGCATTGAGAAAGAAATATTGTGAAACGAGATTTATTGCAATGTTTTGAGGTAAATACGTTGGTAAGTCCGGATAGAAGGTGTAGATGAATTTGATTAAGTTGGCCTGATTGTTCGGGGTAAAAGACCGAAAACACGCGCGGAGTAGGTACCACATGCCTTCCAGTTAGCTACCGGTGAAGTGGGGATTTGATAGTGCTAGTTATGCCTACTTGCAGACACCAACTTAGGGATTACGTGAGTCGTATTACAGCCCTTAAACTTAATTGAAATTTTTTTGAATTGTTGAGATTTCAATTTATCATTAAGCATAATGGTTTTCAAAGGATAAAATATGTGATTTTCTTTCAAAAGGCATAGCATGGCATGTGCATTTCATTTGAGAAACTTGTATAAAATGTATATACTTTATTAAGAATTTCCTACTGGGCTTTATCCTCACCCCTATGGAATTTTGGTGCAAGAAAAGACGTAGTGATCCCGTCAAGTTAGGATGTGGACGAATGTGTTGGGAGCATAGGGCTTTTATTTTATTGTGGTATATTGTTGTTAGCCACGGGCGATAGCTGTTTGGGTCCGAAAGACCATTTTTGTGTAACCGGGCTTAAGTCTTGGAATTGGTAAGCCCTTGAGGGCATTTTATTTATATTTGGATTTGATGTTCTACATGCTATAGATTTATGTAATTGATGTCATTGATTCGCGTGTGAAACTATTTTTGTACAAACCTTAGTGATCAATGATGTGAAGGTTGAAAAATCACACCTTTTCTTATAATGAACGTTGGTTGATGTATTTATATGATGTGAAAATTTTCGGGGCGTTACATGTGTAAGACATGAGCTATTATTATAGTATGTTTAAATTTTGTATTTTGATAATTTTCTAAAAATTTGAATATTGTTCTATCAAATTGAATAGAAAAAATCATTAGATATATGATAGAATTATGTGGTATGATATGTATCATTTTTTGATTTGTTATGCATCTAATGATGTAGACTCCAATTCCATTTCCATATTATTTGGGATGAATTTATGAGTTTTTAACATTTCTTCTGAATTAAAAAAAAAAATTATGGTGTACAGCTTTTTTCAATAGATAAATATAAAACAAATACTAAGATAATTCACTGAACTAATAAAGAAATAGAAGAAAATACATATATATATATATAATGACTAATTTTATTAATACATAAATCATTCTCACATAACAAATGACCAATTTTATTAATAAGTAAATTAACAATTTTTAATGATATGAAAAATATTTTTCAGTTAACCATTTTGTTAATAAATAAATTATTAAGTCAATTAACAGTTTTTAATGATATGAGAAATAATTTTTAATAAACAATTTTGATAATTTATTATTGCATAGGAGAATAGTTTTTTTTTTCCCTGAGTATTGTGTTAAATTAAAATTTATAACAAACAACAGTTATAATTTCTAGTATTATAAGACGGATTCATATTTTAAACAAACTTTATGGATGTATTTGTAATTTGTTAAAAATGAAATATTTATGTTTCATAATTGACCAAGAATGCATAATTACAAAAAAAACTTCACTCAGCATATAGGCCACCATTAGTAAATTATTCAAAATGAAAGGATTAAGTTGGAAAGAAAAGGCGAAACTTAAGCAGCTAAGAGATTCTTATGTATATAGATATATGTGCATATAATCAAAGGCATTATGTATTGATCCAATTCAAAAATCTATGTCAAAACTTATATGCTTTAACTAGGTTCAGTTGTCAAGAATATAAAATTTTCGGGAGAAAAATGAATTCTCAAGAAAGGAAAGAAAAATAATAATAATAATTTATTTTCCCATTAATTGTTCAGTATACAAGAAATATTTGTCCAAAAAAGTAATTTAAGTTTTTCAGCAACACAATACTGTACTTTCTATAAAAGAAAATAAAAAATTAAAAAGGATATGATCGAAAGATTTTCTTTTAAGAAAATAGTTATAGTGAAATATATTTTTGCGAAGACTGGCCCCGTTTGGAGACCTACTTTTTTAGCCAATTAGCCAAAAAGTCAACAACTCATACCAAAAAGTCAAAGATTCTCTTCTCTCTACTTTTTGCACATCTTTTTGTAATTAGCCAAAAAATCATCCCAAACATACAAGTTTTTTTTACCTACCTTTTTAGTCAAATAGTCAAAAAGTTACTAAATTAGCCTATTCCCAAACGAGAAAAACATACATAAAATGAAAATCATTTTTATTTTTCTTTTCTTTCCCTCTCCTGAAAAAAATGCGACGAATCAAAAGGACAAAGTTCCAAGACAGTTAAACAACAATCAAATTCATAGGTACAAGGAGTTAATGTATACTGTCTTATGTTCACAGTTGGCATCCACAACCAGAAATTTAAATTCTAAAAAAAAAAAAAAAAAAAAAAAAAAAAAAAAACTGAAAATACACAGTAATGAGTAGTTGAACAAATTAAAAAAAAAAAAAATTGGTCTTGGATTACTGGAAATGTATCTTTTATTCGGCAGTTGGTTACCAGACTTATATTTTTTTGATGCCGGACTATTTTATTTTATTCGATTTTGAAACACCAAACAAAAGTTGAAAAACAACCCAGAAAAACGAAACAAAAACCTACCAAACAAATTAAAAAACTCACCATTTCACTTTTTTGATGGTTCTTCATCCATTACTTTCTTCTATGATCAAAACACTACGATTCTCACTTTTTGAAAAGAGATGTGTAAAAGAGAAGAAAATTTGAGAAAGGAAGAAGAGGAGTAGGGATTGAAAACTAAGGGATGTAAGGAGATAATAAAACGTATTTAATTTTAATGTTTTGTCCTTAAAGGTAATTTTGCACATGGGTAAAATTAGATAGACAAAAAATCTCATATGGAGGATCTGAAGAGGTAAAGTAGTAGTGTAAGTAAAATCACTCTTTAAAAGTGGGAAAATTTTTAAGGACCCGGCATAATACCAAAATTATCCTTTCTACAAAACACACACCCACTTAGATGCACACCTTTACAATTAGAAAAAAAACAAATTAACCACAATTAATTTAGTAAAAATAATTAATAGTTCCACCAATTTCAAAACCAAAACTAAAAACTGAACAGTGATTTGAACTGAAACTAGAATGGATCGATTTACCGGTTCCATTGATTTTTTTGAACACCCTTACAAACTCACACCAATAGAGGGTGAATGCAGTGTGTATGAAAGCGAAGCACTGCACAAGGTGATATAAGCAAATGCAAAAAGCAAAAAAGCATTCCTTGTTAACATTTTCAACATTTTGTAAAATTTTCTGTCATAATCAACCCTTACAATTGAAGAAGAGAGTACCTAGCTGCCCTTTCTCAAAATTGACTCAAATTTCTGTAAAAAATTAGAGTAAAAGCTTTATTTGATCTGAAACTAAATCACTCACTTCAATAGACAAACTCAAATTTAAGTATAGAAAAGACGGCGATTTGAGTAATTTTTACCCAAATTTAACTCTTAATAAATAAATTTGAGTTAAATTGAAAATGCCCCTAAAGGGTTCTTGAAAGCTGCTAGAGAGTGCCTTGAAGATTAAATTTCGGAAACAATAGAGTTCCTTACCACACCTTTATAGAAGAAAGACAAGTTGCTCCATAAGTACAAATATATTCATATATATATATATATATTAGTCTAAAAAGGCCCATGCAGGGCATGGACTATTATTACAGTATGTTTAAATTCTGTATTTTGATAATTTTTTTAAAAATTAGAATATTGTTCTATCAAATTGAATAAAATAAATCATTAGATATATGATAAAATTATATGGTATGATATGTATCAATTTTTGATTTGTTATACACCTAATGATGTAGACTCCAATTCTATTACCATATCATTTTGAATGAATTTATGAGTTTTTAACATTTCTTCTGAATTTATAAAAAAAATTATGGTGTACAACTTTTCTCAATAGATAAATATAAAACAAATACTAAGATAATTCTCCCATCTTTAAAAAAAAAAAACTACTAAAATAATTCACTGAACTAATAAAAAAATAAAAGAAAATACATATATATATATATATAATGACTAATTTTTACATAAATCATAGTCACATAACGAATGACCAATTTTATTAATAAGTAAATCAACAATTTTTAATGACAAGAAAAATATTTTTCAGTTAACCATTTTGTTAATAAATAAATTATTAAATTAATTAACAGTTTTTAATTATATGAGAAATAATTTTCAAGAAACAATTTTGATAATTTATTATTGCATAGGAGAATAGCTTTTTTTTTTCCCTGAGTATTGTGTTAAATTAAAATTTATAACAAACAACAGTTATAATTTCTAGTATTATAAGACCGATTCATATTTTAAACAAACCTTATGGATGTATTTGTAATTTGTTAAAAATAAAATATTTATGTTTCATAATTAACCAAAAATATTTGCATAATTACGAAAAAACCTACACTCAACATATAAACCACCATTAGTAAATTATTCAAAATGAAAAGATAAAATTGAAAAGAAAAAA